AGCCTCATTTTCCTGCAAATTGTGCACGGAGGCGGGAGGGCGCTCGGCTGGGAAGGGAGACGCGACGGGGCTGTCGGCGACGCCAGCACCCTTCAGCTCCTGCCATGGCCCAAATACGCGGCGAGACAGCAACAGAAGTCGAACTCTCGAGGAACTTGACTCCAAACTTGGTCGGGTTCTGGCAGTTTGTTTGCAAGGAGTCATGTTTTGACAGCGCGGGCTGGATCTGAGCATTGTGGCGCTGGGAAGCGTTGCCAGCGCGCTCCGTAAATACGATCTGCCGTGGGGTTTGCCGCGGGAACGGGAGGAGTAGGTGGGTTTGTTTCAAATACTCCCATTACAGTCAGTTAACCTTTATGTTACCTAAATGGAAATCGTATAAACCTGAAGTTTTCGCGGAGGAGGTTGCCTAGGAACAGGCGGTCGGTTTTCCTGCGGCAGGGAACGCGCAGCCACGGATCCGGCTGTTGGGAAGGGAGGCGCTGAGCCGCGCTCGCTGCCTGCCCCGGGCTCGCGCGCCAGGAGCATCCCTTGTCGCTCCAACTGGGAATGCCGGGCAGCGAGGAAGGGCCGGGGCTGCTGAGCGTGGAGGATCGCTCCGCTTTCCCCATTCCCTGCATGGAAGGAGCCTGCGGAGCGCCAGGATCCTGCTCGGGATGGGGCGGCTCCCAGCGCGTTCCCCGGAGCCTCTCGCGGGGCTGGAAAGGGCTTTGGGCACTAGGGAAGGCAGCGGGAGCACCTGGCCGCGCGAGGATGCCGAGCGTTTGTTAGCAGGATTTCCAGGATTTTTCTGGCGGGCAGGAATATTGATTCTTTATTCCTGCTTTAAAAGAAGCGTTGTGTGAAGATCACCCAGAGTCACTTCCCACTGTAATGGAGCAATGCCCAGGACTTTCCTCCATCCATCCCACACCCACAGAGCATCCCTGGGAGTCGGGCATGGGTTTTCCTTCCCGGAACGCGCAGCGCCGCTCCGGGGCTCCGGCGTGTTTGCTCCCGGGAGCCTTCACACCATTCCTGAAGTTCACCTTTGCGGGGGAGGCGGGACGGGGAGGAAAACGCTAAAAATAAAACTCCCCCTTAACTAGCTCCGTTCTGCATTTGACATTTACATGGAATTCATTTGCATCTCATTTGTACATGTTTCTGCTCAATAGGTAGAATGTAAGAAAGCACAGCCTAAAGAAGTGATGTTTCCACCAGGGACGAGAGGAAGGGCACGCGGATTACCCTATACCATGGACGCTTTTATGCTAGGGATGGGAATGTTGGGTAAGTGCAATGGCCACGGATCGGAGCGAGCGCTCCCGGGGCGGCTGTGCGCCCGCGCTCGCGTGGGTGCCCGGCGCAGCCCGAGCAGGGGTGGAGAGGGGACCATAATCCTGTCTGTGCTAAATGATTAACTCCCCCCTTCCTGGAATATAAAAATTTGCATTTAAATGGTTGTTTTAAATAGCCCGTTTTACTCACAAAAATAGGATGATGAAAGATGCAGTGTGTTCATTCTGACTAAAAATGATCTCTCCCCTTTTTGAGAGGAATTGAGTCACACATTATTCCCCTTCTTTTAAAGGTATCTTTGACAGTTCAGCATTAGATAATTGAAAATCTCGCCAGCTCTGAATGGCACGCGGGTTGGGGGAGGCAGGGAGGTGCGCACCGCTATTGGTCCTAACAATAATTACAAGTTTCAGGGAGATGGAACGGTGTTTTAGACCTGAGTATTGTGTCCAGCAAATACTAATTAAATGGGATAAATGATATTTATTGGCAAAATTCTATTTGCACACAAAGTCTGCTTAGTTATAATTGCTTCTCATTTGTTTCTGCCCGGATGGTTCCTCTTTCTGTATAATCCGACAAGCTCTCACTATCCAGTCCTCGCGCGTGCCAGGCCGAAACGCTGCTGATCCATTGGCAACGTTGTTGTGAACCTGCTGTGCCTTCAGCCTCCCGCTCCCTCTGCGCCAGTCCCTTGGTCATCACATCAGTGTCTGCGAGGGCTGCGCAGCCTCCGGAGGCGTTCCCAGGCGGAAACGGGCCCCTCCGAGCCCCAAGGCCCCGGGAAGCGCTGGGAGCCCCGTGTCCCCGGGACAGGCTGAGGAGAGGGTCCGTATCCCGGTCGGAGGAGCAAGGGAAGCGCTCGCCAAGGGAGAGGGTCCCAGCAGCTGCTCGGGACGCTCCAGCGCGGAGCCGGCAGAGCCGCCGTCGCCGGTGTCCTCCCCACCGAGCGCCCCGGGCTTGGAAAGCTGTGTCCTTGGGCAAATCCATCCCTGCCCAGAGAAGAGCCCAGGAAGCCGCTTCATCTCGTGCTTCGTAAGCCAGACACTTCGGTTTCTGAAGAGTTTCGATGCTCCCCGAAGCTGAGCACAAAAACAAGCCTTGAGAGCCGGATCCTTGTTCCTCTGAGCTCTGCAGAGCGGATCCAGGAGCAGCGTCACCGCTGGAGGGGCTGGGAGCCCTGCAAGGCTTTCCCAAGTCAGCACCAGGTCACGGTATTTAGCTCCCATGAAAGTCAGGCTGTTACACGGAGGTGTCTGGCTTCAGGCGACTTGCTTTGGTGGAGAAAACTTTCCTGCCGTGTTTGCTTTATCTCTGGATTAATAGTACTGCTGTTCATGTGGCGGGAGCCATCCCTTTCTGAGATGCTGTAATTCAGTTATTTCAGCTGATCATCTATTTTTCTGTCCCACCAGTCTCTTCCCCCATGATGCCCCATAGTGTTTGGAAATTAGATTTTAGGGTTAAAATATTCAGCCTGTTGTAACGACTGTGTTATTCTCTCACTCGTGTGCACTCGGTGTGCTCGAGCATGTGGTTTTTCCTGCTTTCACTTGTTCGTTGTTTCGCTGTGTCCCTGGAGGCGGCCGCGCGCAGTC